TGCTTGACTGATGTGCTTTACTGGTTCCCAGTGGATTGTGTATTTATTGGGTTAAGAAAGTGTTAAGGAAACAGGTTCTGATTTTTGAAGCTACTTCTATTGAGAGCAGCAATATATTTTAAATTATTTTTTAGAAAAATGACTTAGTATAAACATCAATGAAATTATCCAGAATCCAATGAATTACCAGTTGATGGGTAGCCATAGATTTATCTTCTGATAACTTTTAAATCTATATAATCTAGGATTACTGGAAAATGTTCACAATAATTCCAATAAAGAGAAAAAAGTTTTCTACTATTAAAAATTATACATATGTGTATGTATATATATATATATATATATATATATGTAAATATATGTATGTATTTTGTTTTGTTTTTAAAAGTAGGCTCCATGTCCAGCATGGAGCCCAATGTGGGGCTCAAACTCATGACCCTGAGAAGCAAGACCTGAGCGGAGATCAGAGTTGGACACTCAGCCAACTGAGCCACCCAGGTGGCCCTCATAAATATATTTTTAAAAATTGATCTGAGTATTTCACCAAAGGCAAAAAACAAGCCAAACAAAAAGAAACAGTGATGAAACAAGCTTGGGCCACATATATCTACCCTGGAAGACACAACTTACTATATCCAACTAAGTAGGAAAAAACAATGACTGCAAAAAATTCATGGCTGCCTTGTCTGAGTACTGGCAGAGCATGGAGTTGTAAAAGAAAGAAGGAAATACTGTATTTAAATTTGAAATTTGGTTTTGGGTTTTGGGCTCCTGCTTTGGCTTCTGTGTAAATTAGGCTTGAATCGTATTTAATGTGCTAATTTAAAATGAGTCAAATAGTCCTGCCTCAAAGTAGAAACATTTCTGGCCACTCCCTTTTTATAAACACTATTTCTTCAAGTGTATTTGTTCATGCATATGTACACTTCAGTTATTTAACAAACATTTTTATTTGTCCCTATAAGGTACTTAGGACTGCTAAAGTTTAAAAAAGAACCAACATTTATTGAGTGTTTAAAATGTACCAGGAACTGCTCTAAGGGCTTCACACAGACTACCTCATTTAACTCTTCCAGTAGGCCAGTTCTAGGAGGTCAGCATTACTACTGTTCCCAATTTAAGGAGGGAAAACTGAGGTGAGGGGTTACCCGGCCGAGCTTCTTGCCCAGGAAGCCTGATTTCAGAGTCTGTGCCTTTTACCATGCACTTTTCTTTTAGAAACTTCCAAGTAAATGGAGTAAACTACCTTAGTCCAACCTTTCAGTTTTCCTCACATATTGATCATCCTGTGACTGGTTATTGAGTGTGGGTTGTGTTCAGGAACAGAGCTAGAAGGGGCACCTGAGTGTGGCACTCAGTGGGTAAGGACAACTACGGACCTGGCTGTGTACTTAAGCCCTTTATCCCACAGTGTCCTCATCTACGAGGACAGGAATGACACCTCTAAGAGTAGGGATGAAAGAGAAAAATTATTTTAGCGCAGGGTGGCACACAGTTACTACAATTATCATATAGCCCCTGCCCTGGAAGAAACTGGCATTCCTTGCTGGAAGGAGGGGAAATCTTCTAAAAAATTATGGACTAGTATAGAAAGTTCTATGAGAGTGAATTATGTTGGGAGCACCTGGGTGGCTCAGTTGAGCACCCAACTCCTGGTCTTGGCTCAGGTCGTGATCTCGGGGTCCTGGGATCGAGCCCTACGTTAGGCTCCTTGCTCAGTGGGGAGTCTGCTCAAGATTCTTTCTCCCTTTCTCTCTGCCCCTCCCCCAGTCTTGTGCATGCACCTGTGTGCACGCACCTGTGTGCACGCACTCTCTGATAAATAAATCTTAAAAAAATTATGTCAGAGCCCGGGTGGTGGGAGTATTGAGACAGGTAACGAGGAGAGAATGAGGAAATGGAGTTAAGCTGAAGAGAGGGTTCTAATTAAAGCTGAGCCCCAGACCTAAAGTTTCAAATGTTTATTTTGTATATTTTGTCACTTGCAGACTAATTCACATTTATTGAGTACCTGTTATGTGCCAGGCACTGTAGGAGGACAGTCTCACATATTCTCTACCATTTAGCATTTACAACACTGAGGGACAGTGCAGGTGGTTTTGAGGAGATCACGGTGTTTTTCTACATCTGAGTAGGGGTAACCATTATCACTCAGATGACAGGGGTCTGGGGTCTCCCTGAAAGGCCCTGCGTGGGGCCTATCTGTATTGGGGTGACACTAAAAGTCATGGTGCAAAACAGAGGACTTCATACACTGTGAATTAGAAAAAGTTAATGGGAATTTTTACACCTACCACAGCAATGAAAGTATAGGTTTTACATGTCTTTTTCTCATTGCTTCTAGCTCTTTCTCCTCCTCTCCAAACATCTAAGGACCATTTTGCGATACTAAATGTACTTGTGCTTCCCATCTGGACCTAAGGGCCTGCTTCTGCCCTTGTGTTCCCTACCTCAGTACCTGGTTTTCTAAAAGAGAAATGTGGGGGTTGCTTTCTACTGAGCCACCAAGTCCTCTGTGTGGGTACTTCCTAAATGCCTCCTTTCTCCTGCAGGCTCACTGCTCAAGTAGACTGTGACGTTCTTCTTCCTGGTCTCTTTGTCTCTACTCTCTTCTCTCCAACTTTCATTATCCATAAGGCAGTTCCACTTTTAAGACATAGGTATGATTACTCCTCTATTTGAGACTTACAATGGCTTCCTAGTGCCCACAAGATGATGGTCAAGGGCATCAGCATGGCATATTAGGGCTCTTACTACTTGGCCCCATTCTACCTTTACATCATCGTCCACTACCAGTGCCAGCCAGATAGCTGTTCAGGCAGCAATGGACCACTAGCCCAACCCTGCAACTTTGGACCTAATCCTCCCAATGCTGGGTACTTCCCAGGGCCCATCTTCAAATACACAAATACAGAATTCTCATCCATTTATATATATCCAATTATATTACATTTTCTCAGATCCATTTTAGAGAACAATTTCTACAAGATTATTACATATTTTCTGTTTTCTCCTCTGGACTTCCACCAAATTTTAAGAGGACTGTGGCTAAGAAATAATAAAGAATAGAAGAGTACCTAAATTTGGATGCCTTTGAACTGATGGTTCCATCACGTAAGGGAGTCAATCCACACATTCTTACCCCAACCCCTGCCCTGCCAGGGACCCTGAAAGCTGGTCTCATTATTTCCAACGAACACTATCTGTGGACCAAATTGCCTCATCTAACAATGGGATTCATTGCACAGACCTCTAGGTGTAGTTACAGTTTCTGTTGAACAGATGAATCAAACGGCCTATCAGCTGGATAATGTAAAGATAATTATCTCCATATACTTTCTGCTTTTAGAAGCATGTTATTCCTCAAAGATAATCAGCACCTGAGTTTTCATGGACAATTGTGAACGTGCTGTTTTAAATTTAACAGCTCTTGTTAGCAAATGTAATCATGAATAAAAAGAAATTTATTTTTATTTGGCATATGAACAAAATTAAAATGGTGATATTGGTAAAGATAAGAAAAATTCTATTATTAATGTACATAAGGCCTTTATCAGATCTTCTTCAATTTATCTCTGAAGTATATTTGGAGCCTAAAAATAAAGGAGAAAGTTCAGTTATCAGCATTAGAGCGACGCATTTAGATGATTTACACAATGGAAATGATTGCTCCTCATATATTAATGTCCATCAGAAATGAACTCTTAGAAAATTCAAGAAAAACATAAAAGTGTTAATGAAAACTGCTTAAGATGGAATGTACTTTGTGTTGTGGAATAATTCACCTTTGTTTCCAAATAGGTGATTGACTTGGGTTTTGAAACCAGGGCCTTAGTTCCAATAAGCATATGATATAATCAAATCAGCTGATTGGCCTGGGGTAGAACATTACACCATTAATGATTTTTTTAAAGTTAAGTTTTGAGTCTAGAAGGACTGCTTAATTTTAGCATGCGTTCAAAGATAAAAAACCAAAACAATAAAACCCTTTCATGTTGAGGGTTGGATAAAAGTTCAAATGACTTTCTAGTCTAAAAAAGTCACCTAACTTTATTAAAGACCCAATGTGGATACACGCTAGCAAACTGCCTTTCTGCAATCTGAAAGGGGACACACTTTTTTTAAATAGCAATTATTTTTTATTTAAAGTTTAAAAGGTAGGGCCAAACTCCAATCCCATATAGGCCCGTGGGTGTTCTCAGCAGGATTCTCATCCTATGCAAACTGATAATAATAGATCACTCACTCTTGTTTATTTTAAGAACTCTCCCAACCAGACGGGGTTCACATTAATGTACTTAGATAAAGATATTGTAAACAGAGTATGCAGTTGCAAAAATAGCACATTCTTAAGGACTTCAGTTTATGGTCATACAGCTATAAGATGGCAAGTCGGATGGATCTCTTAGATGTCATCCAACATCCAGGACTGCAACAACTTTCTAGCTATGATATTGAAATAGAAAAACCTTTGCAGAGCATTAACCTATCATTACAAAGAGTAAATGGCATGCACTGCAACCTAATTAGCAGTGTGGCTTGCATCTATAAAATAGAATTAGCACTACTGCTCTTTTTTTATTATTAGTTTGTGTTTCTAGAAAGGTGTGACCTTATCTGTAAGGTTCTGTTCATTTATGCCCATTTACAAAGGATTTAATTATGTTCTTTTAGCTCTCTACGCTGAGGAAATTGAAAACGGCCACTTCAGAATTAAAACTGTTAAAGAAATTAGTGAGCAGATTATTTACTCCATCACCCTTCTTTGCACAGGGATAAAGAATGGAAACACGTTCAAATAAATGAGGTTGAAGATTTTTGGAAGAGAACATTCTAGGTAAGGAAATTATTAATAGTCTTCCTTTCCTCTTTCCCATGGGTCTTTTGCAGTTTTAGTTTTCTTGGGCAGAACCAGTTAAGGGGAATGTGTATTATTAATACTATAAGATTCCTGAAAATCCCATCACCTTAGTGTGAGCAGCCAGAGAACATGGACTTACATCTGAGGCAGGCGACTCTAGGACGATGCCGAATCCCAGCACACGGCTCTCCCCAGAAGAGGGGTGCTCGGCCGTTGGGGGGCCAGGCTGCTCGGAGGCCCCTGCTGTCGTCTTCTCAGTTTCGAATGCGCCAGACTTTTGCTTCACAGTTAGAGGTTCAATGGTCTTTGAGGGCACTTTTTTCTTTTTATTTCTCTTGCGTGAGACAGCAGTTCGCTGGGAGCATATAAGGGAAATCGGGGGTTGTTGTCTGTTTTGGGTTCCAACTGTGAAGAGTGAACAAAAATAGGGTACAGGCACCTAAGTCTAACTTAGGAGAAACCATCGCCCGTCTATCTACATGTTCTACTAACTGAGACCGAAGCACGGTTCAGTCAAAGAAGCAGACCAGAGTCAATCTCCTGCAGGTCATCAAATGACGTCTTTGAAGCACTTTAGAGTTCTACACACAGAAAAGCACTGTCCTCGATGCTGCTAAATAATTACACTCACTGCTGCTGCTGGGTTCTGTGGAAGGCATTCTGAGCTGTAGGAAAACATCTGAGTGTGATTTTATAAGTCGCAGGACATTTTTATATAAATGGGAACTGAGAATTTAAGTTCAGGTCCAAGCTTTCTGGTAAGCCAAACTTAGGAATATTCTAATCATCCTTGGAGGGTAAATTGATCAGCTGCTAGCAATCTACAGGCACTAACATTGACTAAGAGTGAGCAATGATGATCATTTATTAAAGAATGAGTCTGGCATGACTCGTACGTTATGTAGGCAAAGCCGGCTAGTCCTTTATCAGGGCCAGTTCCTCCTTCCTTACAAACCACGTTATCCACACACAACCATCTCCACAGAACTACACTACTGGGTTCTGACCAGGCTGCCCTCCATACCTTGGTTTTAGGTAGTGGAAAAATAGGAATGATATAGTTCTTTGCAAGTCAGGAAGACCAGTAAAATCCAGAAACAGGTGGAATTCCAAAGATGAAAAGCACTGAACAAACACCAAGTACTAGTATTAAATATATACTTAAGGAAGCCAAAGATGGTAAGTATAGTTTTCACAGATGTACTCTGGCAAGTCATGTTTGTTAACCATTTAGAAATATTCTGATGGAAAGTGTAATAGAAAAACACGGCATCATTATTTAAATCTTCATGTAGCAATATGGCTTACTAAAAATGATCATGGGATATGCCTGCTTTTTTACAGAAATAAGCCAAATGAAAACTAAAGATCTTTAAATGCACATAAATATGGATCATTTCCCATCAGTTTGCAAATAAAGGATATTTATACTTTGAGCTTGGTATTTGCATCTTTAGACTGGCGAGAAATTTACAAGTAAGTATTAGAAACCGAACTACTTGGGGTGCCTGGCTGGCTATGTTGGAGAAGGAGCATGCAACTTTTGATCTTGGCATTGCACCCATGTTGGGTGCAGAGATTACTTAAAAAAATAAAAAAGGAAACAAACCACTTGTACTGCATAGGAGCACTGAAAAGGTATTTAACCACTTGTGTAGTTATTAGTTGAGTTCACTGGTGCTTGACCTTGGCTGCATGTTAGAATCACCCGGGAGCTTAAAAAAAAAAAAAAAAAAAAAAAAAAAAAAAAGTCCATGCCTCAGCCTTACCCCAGACTAACTGAATTGGAATTTGCAGGGGTGGTGTCCGGGGAACTGAGACTTTTTTTTTCTTTTTAAAGCTCAAGTGATTCCAGTGTGCAAGCTCAAGTGGAGAACTTTCCTCTGTTCTCTGGATTTTTACCCAAGGCTAGGTCTCCATGCCCAAAGTCAAATGGACAAGGAAAGCAATTATCAATGGTCTAGGACTCATGCCTCTCCAAGCCTTGCTATTCTAAATTAAAGGGAGAATGCATTTGGTTTAAAGAACACAGGCACTTTCAGAGTTTTTCTCCTGAGTTTGCAAGTCTAGACACAGCCATAGTCTCTGGCACCCAGATCTTATCGCTTCATTGTATTCCTTGTCTTCTCCCTAAGTAGAGGCGAAACTTTCTAAATATAATTTAAATCTACAGGTGTTATAGACAATAAGCCTTAAGTAAATCTACCCACACAATACAGATTCTTAAGTTTAAGGAAATTAAAGAAGAGTAATTTCTTCAGTTTATCCTTTCTGCTATCCTACCAGCTCTGGAATCATTTACTGCCCTAATCTGCAAAAGGTTCAGAAAAGAAAACATGGTGACAAAGTGGCATTTACTTAATAGATTCCAAAAGGGCTTCAGTCAAGGATTTAAATGGTTGCAATTTGTAGTTTGCCATTTCGGTAGTAAGGAGCTTAAGTAACAAAATAAATCATTACCATTTCATATGCATATTTTCTTAAGTGCTAACAAATTCTTCCTCTGAGAAAAGAACCCGTAAGTCATGAAGTAACCTTTCTTTCTCTGCTCCTTATTTAAGAGACAGTAACTTTTTCTAGGTCAATAAGAACATGGATTGTTGTTGTAGAACAAGATGAGTTAAATGCTTACTGGCCTGACCAAAATGCTTATCCTTTCCTTGGGCTTAGACCAAATTCAGCACATACAATTGGATGTTGCTTTTCAGAGGTTCTTTGGCTCACCTCACTTTCATGTGCTCTTGGGTGACGGGGGTGTCTAAGTAGTAAGCTTTTTATATCAAGCCACATCACTAAATATTACAATTTTACTAGAATTCACTAAATGGCACCAAGTACGATTTCTGAATGATGACCTTCCCAAATCTCTCTACAGTGCAAGGGTGGGGATGCTCACCGTCTATGATGGCTGTTTCTTACTCCAGGAGGAGGCTTCTCTCACCGGAGAAGGCTTTAATGAAATGCTTTCTTATTTTCTATACCTTGGGACCAAAAAGTTGCATTTCCCCTGCACTGGTGGAGATTAGGAACCACAGTCATTATCGTGGTGACCCAGACATCTATGAACCGCTCCTGGCCTTTAGAACAACACTAATGAAGTAGTTTCTGCCTGCCTCATGCTTTACAAGTTCATTTATGTTTACTAACTCCTGCTATTTTGAAAAGCAGCCTGTGAGTTAGATATTAATGCCAGCTACAGATGAGACATCTGAGAGCAGAGAAGTCACACAACCTCGTGAGGAGAACAGGGACTCTGACCCCAACCTGCAGACTCACTGCTCGTCTCCCCCACGACTTGACTGACATGAGCAAGAACAGAAGAGGTGTCGTGCAACTAAAGAGGACAAGACACGAGGCGTCTTCAAGCTTCTAGATCCTGAATATGAGGGAGACAAGCCCCAAGCAGGGCCTCAGAGGCAACACCTCATGTACCTATGCTCTTGAATGTCTTCACCAGGCCTGTCCATGTTCCCAAGAGGGCTTCCCGGCACCTCTATGACACTGCATGGCTTCCCCACTGTCACGCTGCACCCCAGAATGGACAGGGATGGATAGGCATTAGAAATCAGGGGACTGCACCCCCCACCTGGTCTCTGTACCTGCTTGAATTTGCATTAATTTCCGCATGGTCCTGAGTTCTTGGAGGATGGCCTGCAACGTTGACTGGCAGTTGCAAGTACAACAGTTTGATCCAACTGACGAATTCACCGCGGGAAGGTCTCCTAAGCATCAAAGAAAAGAATGGCACACTCCAAACGTCAACAACAAAGTTACAAAGAGGAAAAAGAAAAAAAAGGTATCTTGACAGGCTTTTACTTTCTCTTTTTTTTTTTTTAGATTTTATTTATTAATGAGACACCCACAGAAAGAGAGAGAGAGGGAGAGACACAGGCAGAGGGAGAAGCAGGCTCCATGCAGGGAGCCCGATGTGGGACTTGATCCTGGGCCTCCAGGTTCGCTCTGGGCTGAAGGCGGCACTAAACTGCTGAGCCACCCGGGCCACCCTCTTGACAGTCTTTTGAAACATGTGCAGTTATTATGCAACAGGGCCTAAGGAAAAGGTGCCCAATAACTGTTACCACCTGAATGTCAGGAGCTGACTTGGGCTAAGCATCCAGGCTTCTGCACAGCCCGGTGCGCAGCAGCTCACCCACCATGCGCCACCACGGCAGGCCTCCCCAGTGTCACACCAGTGCATCTCAGATGACGGCGCCATACAAATCCACTAGAGACATGTGCTACGTGGCACAAAAACACGAGCTCTGAGAACAGCCTTATAGAAACACCTGGTAGCTGCACGTTATAAAGTTTCACGATGAAAATCAAATGTGTCTGGATGCCTGGGTGGTTCAGTGGTTGAGTGTCTGCCTTTGGCTCAGGTTGTGATCCCAGGGCCTGGGATCGAGTCCAGCTTTGGGCTCCCTGCAGGGAGCCTGCTTCTCCCTCTGTCTCTCCCTGCCTCTCTCTTTGTGTCTCTCATGAATAAATAAATAAACTCTTTTAAAAAAAATCAAATGTGTCTATTAAAAATTACTTTTTCTAGTATTAGGCATGTTTCTCCAAATTAAGAAGTATCAACACATTAAAACATTTAGATCACTCTCTGGGGGCGGTATGTCTGTGGGGCAGGGAAGAGCTGGGAGAGCAGGGCGTATATGGGAGGAGATACTCGAACCTGTCACTTTGTGTTGGTGTCCTGGCTTTTCTTCAACTTTGTAAAGGAGATCCTCATACAGCTTTCTTCCATTCCCACAGCTTACCTTTCCCTCACTTTAATCTCTTTAACTCTGTTTAAATTCAGTATCTTTTCCTTAATAAAACTATCCTACTAAAGTAAACACAGATTGTCCCCTTGTCCTTGGAATACTATGGAACATTTGGAAGATCGCTCTTTCTGCAGCCTTCCCTCCAGCATCTGTGTCCAGCCTGGCAACTGTGAACTGGATTGCGCTGCTGTCACTTGGCATTTCTCACAGATCCAAGGGGAAATGCAAGTTCTAAGGCATTCGCCCAATTCTGTCTATTATAGATTAAATGTAATTTTAATTTCACAGTATGCATTATTTGTGGATAGTGTAAAAAAAAATTCACCACGCAAAATCATGAATGCTTCGAGTGGTGTATTTATCTACACTCAAAGTTGTAGCAAACTGATATAATGAATTTCTACCGAAAATATGCAAATAATAAGTGCAAAAATCTGTTTTCAAACCAATATGGGAGAATTTATGTTTCTAACTTTTAACATTAATAACATTTTCCCAAGTAAATCCACCATCCTTGTTGTTACTGGAAAACAGAATGCTGTTTGCTCAAAACTTCTTGATGTGGGGTGAACTAACTTCATACACATCTAAGGGTGTCCTATTTCTCTTGCCATTTCTTCCACGGCAGGTGAATTAGGAGGGCCTATATAGAATATTCCTAGTTACTATTCTTTTTTTTTCCTAGTTACTATTCTAAGTACTGTCTTTATCATTTTTAGAGGACAAAACCAACCCTTTCAGCTTGCTATAAATCATTTTCTAATGTTAAGGAGAACTTTTTTATTTTTATGGGGAGTCTTTAAAGAGCCACCTCCCCCTAATCTGGAAGCGTGCCAGCGCGTGAATGTGATCCTGGCTTATGCAATATTGAGAGAAACGGAAGACTCCTGTACATCTCTTGGGGTCCCTCCTGTCTCATCAGCAGCATCTCAGGATGGTTTTTCATGCCTCTGAATTGGTTCCTGCAAATTGTGTTAAAAAAAATATATATCTAAACAGTTCTCTCCTTCTTGAAGGAATAATGAATGGGAAAAGAAAATCCTTAACTTTCAAGGAAACCGAAAATGCAGTCTTACTTTCTCTTGTTCTCTTCCTGAAAAATATAGATCTGCACATCCATATACAATTTATGGAGCAACATCCAATGTTACTGGATGGTAAGTTAACACATCCAGAAAAAAAATTATCAATTTTTTACTTTAAGCTTAGAAGAAAATAATTTCCATTTGATCTTTTATTTTTTTTTCTGAACTAGGAATTCAAATTAAGGAAATTTTACTCTAAAGGAATAATTTTCAGCTCTAATGAAGCAAGACCTACAACTAGGATCATCTGGTGCAGTTGCTGGAATGTGAGGTAAAAGCAAAGGTGTCACCAGGATGCTGGGATGTGTGTCCCTCCCTTTAACCACAACTTGTGTGATAACGAAGAAAAGCAAAAAAATAAGAGGATGTATTGATGATACACAGAGAACCAGAAGCTCCTTTCAGTGACAAAGGGGAATTCCTTCTGCCCTAAAGTTCAGTCTCTTGTGACAAAAATATCTGTATGTTGGCATATGATAGCTTTCACTTTTTAAAGGGTTAAAATCTCTACTAAGAAATCATTACTTCTAATACAGAGCCTCAGTTTTGCTTCCCAATTCTGTTTTTTTTTTTTTTTAATACTCTGCATTTCTCAGCCGAGGCAGGTGACTAGGGGAGAGTTTAATGTATTGAACTCAAAAACCATGCTGGACATTTAGAAATACAACACATTCGGACACTCTCCCACCTATGAGCATTTTGTCTGATAACCGTACGTACCGTTGAAGCTGCCAGCAGTGTGGGGCTGACTCTGGAAGGTTCTAGAGCGGGTGCCATACTGCCCTGAGAACTGCCCACTGGGCGGTGGTAACTCATTCCACGCACCACGTGAAGATGGTTGGAGGCTCTGTGGTGCCTCGGAAGAGGAGTTCATACGCGGGGGCCAGACTGAATCCAAATCCTGGGGTTCTTCTTTTAATTTTTCTCCCTCTTTGCCCACACGCTGGTAGATCCTGCCAGTGCTGTCATTCAGTAATCTTCTCATTCCTGTGATTTGTTTTTTAATTTCCATGCTTTCATCTCCTAATGGAAACAGGGCCAAAGAGATGTGCATGGGCAGAACAAAACATAACCCGCCACCAAAAAACACACTCCTTTGTGTGGAAAAGATCCCTGAGTCCAGAATACAAGCTTTCAGAAAGTTAAGGAATCTTTAAAAATTAAAGGAGGAAAACTGGCTATGGTCTGAAGAAACCAATCATTTCCTTGTGTATCTCATTTTAACTTTCTTTCTGGCTACATTCTCTTAGGATAAATGAAATTTCCTGAGTGGCTTTCATCAGGAACACACTTCAAATTCCCTCTTTGGAAGCATTTTCTGAGTGAGGGCATTGTAAGAAAATGAGCTGAGACAGAAGACCCAGGATGGGACTACATGAAATCCTGTGCTTGGATCTGCTGCGGAGATTCACTTGGGATAAACGTGGAGGCCAGCTGGCCAGCTCACCAACCTGGCAGTAGGTGTGAGTACCAAAGGGGATGTGTGGCATTAGTTGGGACCTAGAGCTTTCTGAGGATGGGCAGTTGGCACAGCAGCAACACCATTAGCATGGGATGCACCCCAGTATGATGCCATGGGTGTCAGAAGTGACAGTGTAGGAGCAGAGAGACAGCCAAGGCAAGGGAGGAGAGGGCTTTGTCCTTCTCTGGCCTCAACTCACTGAGGGAGATGTCCCTGCAATGTCACTTCCCTGGACCTGCACTGGGAGTACTTAATAAATATCTTAAAGGTAGTTCTACATAAAGACTTCTAACTCTGGGAAATGAACTAGGGGTGGTGGAGGGGGAGGAGGGCGGGGGGTGGGGGTGAATGGGTGACGGGCACTGAGGGGTACACTTGACGGGATGAGCACTGGGTGTTATTCTGTATGTTGGTAAATTGAACACCAATAAAAATTAATTTATAAAAAAAAGGTAGTTCTAAAATTATATAGATATAAAATATTTTCCATAAATAATAACATTAGAGGATGCTATTTGGAGCTATTTTCAACATCCTATCTTTTTACACTACATCAAGCTGGTGTCTTCCTAAAGATTGGGAGAGGTGGATATTTCCCCTCCTCTAACCAATCACTCCATTAAATGCTTAAAATATAAACAATGATAAAAAGAAAAGGCCTATAGAAAGTATCAGAAAAAAAAAAGCTCCTGCAAATAAATACAGCACATTTAATATGATGATGTTTTAATGCACTTAGCATTGTATAAGCTAAATTTCTCTGTGGAATTGGTAACTGTATAATGAATCTAGGTATTTTGTGTTACCAAACTAGGTACTTAGCAAATTAATATATGGATACATTATTGTATATAAGGAAATTTTTATATACTATTTTTTTTAAAATTTTTATTTATTTATGATAGTCACACAGAGAGAGAGAGAGAGAGAGAGAGAGAGAGAGAGAGAGAGAGAGAGGCAGAGACACAGGCAGAGGGAGAAGCAGGCTCCATGCACCGGGAGCCCGACGTGGGATTCGATCCCGGGTCTCCAGGATCGCGCCCTGGGCCAAAGGCAGGCGCCAAACCGCTGCGCCACCCAGGGATCCCTTTATATACTATTTTGAAATAAGTATCTCCAATTTTTTAAAAAGGTAAAAACATATTAATTCTGCTTTTAATATCTAATATGGGTGAAGACAGATGACACACATTTCCAAATTTACAATATTGTTGTGTGCTGGTGTCTGCTTGAGAGGAGATGTATTTTCATTTGTGATGGAACTAGTTTTGTACTAAACACTTGTGAAAATGACAGCACAGAGACAGTAAGTGATATTCCAGATTTTCTGCGAATGAATGACTAAGCACAATTTAAATAATGCAGAGCCAGCAAAATTTATGACCTCCTCAGGATGTCTCCGGAACAGGGTGTGTCTGGAAGAGCTCCAGGAGGAATTCCGAAGGAAAGCTACGGGCAGATGCTGAGTTGGCTTCTGCACCCAGACACACACTTCCCCGGCTAGTGAAAAGCAAGGCCTGGGCAAGAAGCTGCTTTCCTGTGGGGTTTTTAATCGTCCATTTTCTAGATCAGGGAAGTACATCCAGGTCTGAAGCACACTGGTCTGGGCTGGCACCGCTGGCACTGCTGGTGGCCGCCACTCCCCGCCCTCCCGGCGCCCTGGCAGGAGCCGCACCAGCCCAGCCGCTTTCTGCCTGCCTCTCGAGCCAGTGCCAGCTTGCTCCTCCACGCGGACCCTGATGCATCGAGCAGAAGGGATGCTCTCTTTTCCGAGGTTCCACCTCTGCTCTGGAGGTTCCACTGTGATACAGTGCTGTCTACGAGGGTGGGGGGGGTAGGGGGAAGAAAGCAAATCCCTCGATTCTGCTAAAAGCAAGTTTGCTTTGTGCTTTGTCACGCACGACCTTTGTTCCTTAGTTCGGAGAACTACCAGAAAGATCGTACCACTTGAATTCCCCATACTTTCTCTGTCTGCGTGGAGGACCAGAAGCCTGTGCTGCAGGTCTGAGTCCACAGGAGGAGGGGAAAGTATAAGGGGGCTTCTGGTTCCGGGCTGTCCCAACAACGCTGACAGACATTGCTTCCAAAGGCAAAACAAAACTCAATCAATGACATGATCAGGAGCCGCTGGGGCCTGAGGAGGAAGGTACTGGTGGCAAAGGAGGATGCCAGGTGCCAAGGCACGCTGACGAGCATCACTCGGGAGACAGTGCACCGTCTACCTGCCTGCGAGAGATTTCCAAGGACAGGATAGAGAGAAGCTGCAGAAGTCGGTGAGAGGAAAGTCAAGGGGAAGGCTGAGGAGGGGCTGATCTCAGAAAGCTGCTCAGAGGAGACAGGCTGGGCATCCCCTGAGGACCAGCAGATGCAGGTCCACAAATGGTTTCGGGGCAACTGAATTGTCCTTCCTTTGGCCAAAGAAGCAGGGAGGGGCCCTGAAAATACCACCCAGGGAAGAGGTCCCAGAGCTCTGCTACACCTGCAGGTGACGATGGTCTTCAGCAGGGAGAGGGGAAATGTGGCTTTCTGTGTTGGGGGCAGATGGAGGAGAGGGTCAGAAACGAGACCTGGAGACCAAAAGCCAGGATGACAAAAGCAGCTGAGTGAACTGACATATACTGGGATGGACTGGGTGCTGAATCCAGGCAAGTAGGGTGAGCCAGTGAAGGTCCGGCCAGCAGATGCTGGTGTGGTCCAGTGACAGGCCTGTGGCGGACTCCCTTCCCAAGTGTGCTAACCTACTTCTCCCAGACTTCAGCTCCCCGAAGCATAAAATAAAGATCTGAACCAGGGGCACACAGAGCAGCTGAAGAGGGATGTGGGTTTTTCATAGTTACAAGATGTTAACAGAGTACTTGATGCCTCTGAAAGTCACAGGTATCTTTCTCAGAAAAAAAGTGGCTTATTCTGTCCACACAGTGGAACCCATTGTTTTTTGTTCTTTTTCTTTTTTTTTTTTTAAGGGGGCACAAGTTCTTTGACTTAAAAAGAAATGGTGAAAAGTATGTTAAGAGATTGAAATTGGAAGTATTAGTTGACTTCCATTTGTCTTTCCACTTGGGATCAGTCAACGTCTTCGTCATGTTTAATGCCAGCAGAAGGGAGCTCTCAGGGACCATGGGCTAGCTCCAGAAGTATGATTCTATAAGGAAACGTGTGCACGTTCCTGATTTCTTTCCAAAACTGTCTATGTCTTTACTTACACTGGACTCCAAGAGGCTGACTCTTTTTTAGGAAAGACAAACAAAAAGAAATCTTACTAAAAGGTGAAACAACCTTAATGGAAATCCTCTTGAGAGTTTGGACAAGGTCTAAAAAGTTGCGAGTTAAACCATATCTTTGGCTAAATTTCCAGACTCTATCAGATCACTTTTCTTTATATAAGCAATACACATAAATATATAATAATTATACATATGATGATTATGCATAGTAATACAAAGTCTTGCATCACAGAAGTAAGTGATCTTACTGATCTCTCTTAACTTGGCCAGGAGAGAAGAAAATGCTACACATGGTCTGGGATGATAAAAGAAAAAGATGGTAATGTACAAACATACAGGGAGAGATTGTGCATAAACATCTTATGTCTATCTCTGTCTTACTATGAAGATTCATGAAGAACAGTCATCATATCTTTGCCCTACAAATGTACTAATGTAAATATATGGTAGGTATTCCATAAAACCTTAAGTGAATGAAAGAAATGGCTTATCAAACTCAGAATGAATCTAATAGAATTAAATGCAATATAAAGTTGTAAGCAAATAATACATTAACAGAGTGGAGTGAAAAAGTAGCAGAAAGAAATAGTTCAACAAACATTTATCAAGCACTTTCTGAGCCTCAGATATATAAAGATCATCTGGTACAAATAAAAAGATAGCTCCTCTCCAAATCTCTCAACATTTTTTACCCACATCACTTTATATTGATTAGTTGTTCTGAAAAATGGTCCTGATTCTTCCTGGCCTGTTGACCCCTAACTCTATGAACTGTGTGCTCCAGGAATTCAGTGAGCAAACTGCTCTATTTGCAGACCTATCCTGATGATCCTGCTTTGCCTAAAGCCCCAGCACAAAAGCTGATCACCTCCAACTGGGGCTGGGGATGGTGGCTCCCTAAGACACCATGCTTCTGGCCCCAGGAGAAAGCTCCCTGTTCTCTGAGTTGATGCCTCAGAGCTCTACCCTCTTCCCCCTTCTTCCTGAACAGCAGTTGTGTGTGCCAGGAGTTCAAGCTCTCTAAGGGGAAAGACAGGTGATGAAGTTGGAACATATAGCGAGGTCATCCCATTAAGAGCCATACATGCCAGGCGAAGGAAGAATAATTTTACACTGGAGATACTGGGTTATTACTCTGGGTAATTTTAGATTCATTATCTCTTTCAATAGAAAGATAGTAAATAATCAGGTCTATCCTTTAGAGAAATAATTTTGGCAAAACTATGGTGAATGTGGCATGGGGAGAGAAAACCAGTTACAGTGTCATTGCTGAAGGCTGGCAGAAGGGCCATGACAGTCTGTGCCAGGACTGGGAGGAGGGAGGTGCGGGGGGTGTG